TTTTTTTTTTTTTTTTTAATAAATATGATAAAACTTGCTGTTGCAGAGGAGACAGGTAGTATACAGCTCAGATTTCTGGGGATATAAGTATCTGTCAGATTATGGCATTTAACTTACAACTTACTGCAGTAATCTTTTTCAGTTCCTATTTTAAAAGGTGATTTTAGAGATGAACAGTTTTATAAACTGCCTATTAAATTAAATTCCCCATATGTCCCTCATCAGAAAAGTTCCTTTGTAACTTTCTTGGTGTTAGACAGGAACTTGCACCAAAAGTAACCCAGCTCTTTGGAATCCCTTTCTACTCTTAAATGAGAGGGAGATTCAGATTTCTTGTCTAAGCATGAAAATATCAAATATCCATTATTTTTATCGCCCCCCCCCCCCCCCCCCCCTCCAATATTCCTCTGACACATTTGATTGTATCAAGTCAGATGGGTTTATCCCACCATGCTTTCTGGTTAATATTTATTTAAAGCAGATGTTATTTTCTTTCTTAAAAAGTAACCCTGTTTTAGAGTGTGACAATTTTGCTTTGAAACATTCAGGAGATTGAAGGCAGTCTGACACTCCAAACTTGGGAGCTTTTTAGCTATGTACAGAATTGTTCCAGCTGCCCTTGTGTCTGCAGTATGGCCGTTCAACATGAAGACAGCTTGTTTGTGGCCGTTTTTTTGCACACTGACCAGTAACCATGCCAAAATTTTCTAGCCTAGCCAAGACTTCATAGACAAACAGAAATTCAGTAGACTTGGTACAAGCCTCCATGTATGGTGTCCAAACTGTGCCAGAGTGTAATGCTGCTATGTTGCACCAAAACTGGCCAAGTCACAGAATCTGTTACACAAATACTTGGTGAAATTTTCATTTTAGGGATAAATGTACACTGCTTTCATACTTCATAATTATTAAATTGCTTTCTACAATTTTGTAAAGCAAAGTAGGTTTTAGATAGCCGTGAACAACCAAGTTGTGGGAGATCTCACTGGAGAAAGCAACAAACTTTTCTGGGCTCTCTGTAGCAAAGACTTAACAGATTGGATTTTTTTTTCCATTTTTTTTCCTTTCTCCAGTTGCAGAGATTATATAGGAAGTACCTTAGAGCAGAGAGCTTTAGAAAGGCTCTAGTTTATCAGAAGAAATACCTCTTGCTGCTTCTTGGTGGATTTCAGGACTGTGAGCAAGCAACCCTCTCTCTAATAGCACGTATGGGAATTTACCCCTCACCTGCTGACCTGCAGCCTTCTGGATCACGCTCTCGTTCTTTTACCAAGTTCAGATGTGCCGTCAGGGCAATCATTGCGGTGTCAAGGTAAAGCCAAAACACTCGCTGCCTGTCATACATGGTGTTTTCTTGGAAATTTTAAAATTTGATAGTTCCTGTGGTTTATCCTACATTATATTAAGCAAAAGCTAGCTCCAAAACTAGTTTAAATGTGTCTTGTTAGCTGTAGCTTTGGCCAAACTGCTATTTCAGAGTCAGCGCTAAATTGAATGCGTACTGAACTGAAGAGTTATAAAAAGCTGCCTCTGTCTTGAGAGATACCCAGCTGCAAAGTATTTGACAATTGGTGCAAAACCATTACAAACTGATGTCCTTTCAGGTCTGACCCTTATCTGTTTGGACTCACTGGATAGTCTGTCTTGTATCAGAATGTGATCATCTCATCAGTGATGGTTTTCCTCTCTTGAATACAGTAGCCTGTGTTTCATTGGGTATGATTCTATCATACTCTGTCACTTGCTATCAGACGGATTTTGTTAGCTGTACTTTGGACAACATGCCATCTCATAATGGCTTTTGAGTCTGTTTAATGAAAAAGATAGTTTTAAATGTAATAGGTGGTTACTTCTGAGCAATTTTCTTGTCTAGTAAAAGTTATTACTAGCAAGTTCTAAGACTTTCAGGAGATGGCACAGGATGTCTTCAGGCTGTTGTCTTTGATGTGGATGCTATATGAAAGCAATATCAAAGGATGTAGGAACTCTACTCCTCTGAGGCAGGAAGAACTGCCACAGAACACCCCAGAGATTAGGGACAGAGTGGAGGAGCAGTGCCAAAATGAGCAAACCTTTCTAAACAGTTAGAGGATCGCTGCAGAGTAAAATGGGGTGAGCCTTCGTTGTAAAGACTGAAGTTGAAGAATTCTTCCTCCATTCCTGCAAGAATTGTTACTTACATTGTTTAATATGTTTCATGCCAACCAAGAGTTTAATGTTAAAATTCAGTGTATTTTTGCTTTTTTTCTAATGATTGTACAAATTTATTTTGTTACTAAGGTTAAAGTTTTTGGTGAAAAAGTGGAACAAAGTTAGCAGGAAGAGCATACAGGGTGAAACCACTTCTCACAGTACAGGAGGTAATACAGGTAAGCGTTTTGAACAAGTACATTGTTTTAATTATAATTTCATAGAATCTTTGAGTTGGAAGGTGCCTTTAAAGGTCATCTAGTCCAACCCCCCTGCAATGAGCAAGGACATCTTCAAGTAGACCAAGTTGCTCAGAGCCCTGTCCAACTTGACCTGGAATGTTGAATGTTTCCAGGGATGGGACATGTGTCATCTCTCTGGGCAACCTGTGCCAGTGTTTCACCACCGTCATTGTGAATTTTTTTTTCCTTATATCTAGTCTAAATCTGCCCTCTTTTCATTTAAAACTGTTACCCTATGTCCTATCACTACAGTCCGTGCTAAAAAGTCTGTCCCCAACTTTCTTATCAGCCCCTTTAAATACTGGCAGGCTGCAATAAGGTCTCCCTGGAGCCTTCTCTGCTCCAGGATGAACAACCCCAACTCTCCCAGCCTGTCCTCACAGCAGAGCTCTTCCAGCCCTCTGATCATTTTTGTGGCCTCCTCTGGCCCCGCTCCAGCAGGTCCGTGTCTCTCCTGTGCTGAGGGCTCCAGAGCTGGACGCAGCCCTGCAGGGGGGTCTCCCCAGAGCAGAGCAGAGGAGCAGAATCCCCTCCCTCGCCCTGCTGGCCAACCAGGATACGGTTGGCCTTCTGGGGTGCGAGCACATATTGCCGGCTCGTGTCCAGCTTTTTATCCCCCAGTACCCCCAAGTCCTTCTCAATTCCTTCATCCCCCAGCCTGTACTGATACTGGGGGTTTGCCCTGACCCAGGTGCAAGAAGACCTCAGGAGGTTCACATGGGCCTAGTCCTCCAGCCTGTCCAGGTGCCTCTGAATGGCATCCCATCCCTCAGGTGTGTCAACCACACCACTCAGTGTGGTGTTGTCTGCAAAGTTGCTCAGAGTGCACTCGATCCCACTGCTTGTGTCACTGATGACGATATTAGAGTCTTGGTGTCCCCTGAGGGACACCACTAGAGATGAGCTGCTGACCACCACCCTCTGGGTGTGACCATCCAACCAATTCCCCATCCACTCAACAGTCCACCCATCAAATCCATCTCTCTCCAGTTTAGAGATAAGGATGTTGTTGGGGACTGTGTCAAAGGCCTTACAGAAGTCCAGCCAGATGACATACATAGCTCTTCCCCTGTCCACTGATGTGGTCACTCCATCATAGGAGACCACTAGATTGGTCAGGTAGGACTTACCCTTGGTGAAGCCATGCTGGCTGTCTCCAATCACCTCCCTGTCCACCATGTGCTTTAGCACAGCTTCTAGGAGGATCTGTTCCATGATCATCCCAGGCACAGGGGGGAGGCTGACGGGCTGGTTGTTCTCAAGGTCTTCGTTGGTACCCTTTTTTTAAAAATGGGTATTATGTTTCCCTTTTTCCAGTCTCCAGGGACTTAACCTGACTGCCAGGACTTTTCAAATCTCATGGAGAGTGGCTTGGCAGCTACATCAGCCAATTCCCTCAGGACTCTTTAGTCCCTTATTTACTTCCTTATTTAGTTCCCTCATTTCTCTTTAGTCATGTGTTTCATTTAAAAACAAAAGCAAAAAAATAACCACAGAAGTGGCAAAATCTGTTTATACGTTAACACAAATGTGCTTATCCATTTCTTGAACACGATTATGAGTTTATAAGGACATTGTAAGAAACTACAGTTGAAAACTTTCAGAATTCATAATTTACAATGGCGAGCTCCTCCTCTTCTCACTTTACTGCAACCACTCAGAATGTGAAATGGAGTCCTGTGTTTATAACACTCATCAGAGAATTATTTGAAGCTACCTGTAAGGGAGATTAATGCCACGAGTTATTAATAAGGCAAGGACAAATACTGCTGTAATAGTATTAAAATGGGTACACGCGGTATCAAAATTAGTCTTAGAAGTGGCACACTTGCTAGTGTTACCAGAGGTGAAAAACGGGGTTTAAGTGGTTCCAGAAGTCCAGAAGAGACTTAAGACTGGCAGATATCCCATAACTATTTTCTTTGGAGTTTAAGTCCCATGAAACATGACAAACTGGAGCGGATGGCTAGATGGTCGATGTGTTCAGTAAGGACTGTGTTCCTTTGAGGTGCTTATGGATGTGTTTGTAAGAATTTGAACCAACATCTTAATGCAGTACCCAATATTGTGGAACTGTCCCATTTTATGTAATATTCCATTACTTGTGGCTTTTCAACACTGAACAAAATTCAGATGAAATACACATGTTTCATTACCAGGTAATAAGTTGCTGGAAATACTTATTTAAAAACAAACGAACAAAAATATCTTCCTCCATAAAACCACTGTGGTGTGGCTCCTATGAAACTTGAATCCTGAAATGCATGCTGAACTTTCTACCTCACTACAAAATAGCATCTTTGCAGCCTCGTTAAAAAATATTTGGTGTTTTTTGGGGTTTTGGTGGGTTTTTTTTTGTCATTTGAAGGACTTACCAGAAGAGGTTTTTCTTTTTTAATGAAAACAAAACACCCCCCCAACCTTCACCACACCAAACAAAAATCTCTTCCTTTTGCTGCTGTCTCTAAAGTCAGAAAGTGTATGTCAACAGCACCATATAGTTAGAGCAAACAGCAAGTAATAAAATTTATTGAAAAAATATTTTGCTTATATCAGAACTGTGTGGCTATAGGAACAGCTACTGAAAAAAGTTTTCCATTTGTGGGAAGCAATTGTTTGACATTAACCAGATTTAACAGAAGTTTGACATTTTAAAACAAACAAAAGCTGTTAGCTGTAGAAAGTATATTTTAGCTGAATTTAAAACACAGTCGTGCTCTGCTGTAATTCTTATGCGTTTTATTGGTTATGTTTATGATAGGCTGTTTTGAATGGTTGCCAGTGCGTATTTTTTAACTGTTTCATATTTAACATCAGCCTCTGGTGCCAGAACAGAAATTCTGAAGGAGCAGCAGCCCCCAGCTGTTCACATCAGCTCTCCCCCAACCCGGGACACGGGGCTGTGCCACAGAACCAGCTCTGCAAGACTTGTGAGCCGCTCCTCCAGCTCCTCTTACTGGTTACACAACAGGTCAGTCTGCAGTCTCTGCCTACCTTAAACACCCGTACGGACAGTCTTTCATAAAAATGTCACCACTTATTGGAGGAGGTACTTGAACAAGAAGAGGAATTTGTTTTCTTAGATCTGGTAAATGTTTTGTTTCTTTCAAGATGCTACAGGGGAAGAACACTTCTCGTTTGCTTTAAGCATATCTGATGTTCTTGGACTGAGAGCATTCCTAGTCATGTTCCCCAATTTAATTTGGACAGACTACAGGTTTTACAATGGCTGTGTGTGTTAGCCTTCTTTGAGGGGTAATTCTCGTTGCCTTTGCTGTCCAAGTTGGAGATTAATTTCGGAGCATCCAGTGGAAGCAGCTCCCCTCCTATAGGACACCATTGCATTAGTATTAGCTGCCTTCACACTCCATGCACGCGCACAGAATGGGAGGTGGAGAACTTACAGGGGATGTGCTGTTGCAGTTTTTCATTAATTATGGCCAGTTTGCACAGAAATACAACCTCAGCTACTTGTTGCCGGGTTGGATGTCACAAGTGACATTCTGCACAGTGCTGCTAAGACAATGCCTGAGCTGCAAGCGCTGCGCTTTAGTTGGAGGAAGGTGGCCTTCCATCATTACTGACCTTCTCACTCCCAGGCTCTCCTGGGGCCCAGAGTAACCTCGGGCATTGCATAGTCCAGTACTGGCTGTAGCGTCTCCTTTCCCAAGCCACTCCTCGTATGTGGTTTCCTCCTTAAAGTAAGGATTTGCAGGAGTTGATGTGGAAGATAGCTGTTCTCAGCCCCATCAGCTTGGGACGTGGTGTTTGTTTCTTAACCTCCTTGCTAAATTAGAAACTTCAATCAGCAGGCAAGAATTTTCTTCATAAAGAAAAAAAGAGTAGCAAGGAAGTAGCTGTGGTGACCTAGAGGTATGCAAAGGCAGCAGATGCTTGAAATTATTTTAGGTTTTTTAACATTGACGATTGATTTGGGGGACAGGACAGTGCTTGTCATGAGGGACTGATAGTGTTCTAGTTTGCATGGAACTTAGCAAAACACTGAGAGTTAGAGACCTGCAAGCATTTCCTAAAAGACAATTCGACCCTGCCCTATTCCTCTGTCATGGCACCTATCTGGGTCTGACAGCCAGAAACAGTAGCTGGCACCTTACCTGTCAAGAAAAGCCATCTGTATCGTATAGAACAAGGGTATTAATAATAATAGTCAGCCCTGACTGATTACTCAGTGTGACTGGGTTAGTGGTAGCTCAAGTCTAACGTGGATCCGAGGTTGGCTCAACGGTGCCTGTTGCTGCTTTTTGTTTCCCGGCAAAGCTACACAGAAGGAAGGGATGGATAGGAACTACCTTCTGATAATTGAAAGGTCCAGGGGGAGGAAATAAATCCTTACTCCAAGTAGGAATGTGTTTGCACAGAGTGTCCCCTCCAACGTATATTTCTACTAATATTTGAAATTTTTTGTTGATGTTCAGAAAGGAAACACAGTGTATACCATCTAAAGGGTCCCCTTTTTACGCCTTGTCCTTCAAGATACCATTTTACCTGCTAAGGCGAGCACATGCCTGGATGCACCGCACTCCTCTTCAGCACTTCTCTGCAGAAGTGGGTCTCTTCTCACTTGGCTGTTTGGACTTGCCTCTGACTGCAGCTTTCTTACCTTACGTGAGGGACTTCATGTTGCATATCAGTAGAGCGAGATTCATAGATACTCCAGCTTTTATCAAAACATCTTTTCTTTTGACTCCCCTGTATACAAAGCTGCCCGGTCTATATTGTTTCCTCTTCAGCACTTCTCTGCAGAAGTGGGTCTCTTCTCACTTGGCTGTTTGGACTTGCCTCTGACTGCAGCTTTCTTACCTTACGTGAGGGACTTCATGTTGCATATCAGTAGAGCGAGATTCATAGATACTCCAGCTTTTATCAAAACATCTTTTCTTTTGACTCCCCTGTATACAAAGCTGCCCGGTCTATATTGTTTTTACTGTTTTCTAGTTTGCTTTGCACTGAATTATTGCCTATATGAATGTAACTTTATTATATTTATTTAAGAGTATAGCATGAGAAGAAGAAAATAATTTGTATTCTTTTTAAGATTGCATCCTTCAACAAGTTCTGCTTCAGAAAAGTCACTTGTGCCTACTCAGGATCCTGAACGATCGCTAACGGAATACATCCATCGCTTAGAGGTTATCCAGCAAAGACTAGGGGGTGCACAACCAGGTAAGAACCACCTTGTTACTCCTCACAGCTGCCAGCAGCCTGGGCTGCTTTTTGCAAGGTTCTTCCTACGTATTGCCTATAGTACTTAAAGTATGTAGAGAGCATAATTTTAATGAATAATTATAATTGGGCAGGGGAAAGGGAGAAAAATTAAGTAAGTCTCTGAAATGAACTTGTCTGAATCATATCTAAAACTAGTTCAGGTGTGGCATTTCTCAAAATAAGTTCTTAGTGAAATTCTTCAGAGAGAAGCCTGAATAATTCCATGTGATTTCTGCCTCCCTCATGTTATCAAGTCTAAAACTGCAACACTTGCTTAATAAATGAAGTTGTGTATAGAGTTAATTTGCTTTAAATTCAAAGAGAACCCTTGTAATAGCTGAACAGAGCTTTCTCTGCAGCACGAACTGTAATGCTTCCCTCATTTACTGCTTCTTTATATTCCATAGCAGATTAAAAAAAATTTGGAGGCTGGTAAAAACAGCCATCTAGTTCTAAGATTGATCAAAGAGCACATAAAGCATTGTGGTGGCACTTATCTTTGCTATTTAAAACACTTCCACCTCATTTCTAGACTGAATTTACTTGCTTTAATCTTCTAGTTATTAGCTTTTTGAATATCTTAGTTATATCACAGAAATTCTTTGTCCCAAGGAAGAACTTATAAACGGTCATCATGTCTTCCTCAAATCCTCTCCTATCAAGATATGATTAGATGTATTTTCCAATGTTTTGTTATTTTTGAGGTTTATGTCTAAACCTTCTCCAGTGTATTAGTGTCTCTGGATTGTGAACAACAGAGCTGGACCTCCAGCTGCAGTGTCATTGGTGCTAGACCAAATACGATGATAACGTGTTCCTTGTTCACCCATGTAACCGTCGCGTTGCAGGGGCAGCCTCGCACTGCCTGCCTTCCCCACCACAGGGCAGCAACATAATACTTCCTTCCACCAACCACCACCCTTGGCTCCTGGTAATTTCAGCCAAAAGCTGGAAAGATGACCAGGTAGATATTTGGCAGTGGCACTATGAGAGGGCCATGCAGATTCCTTTACGCATTGCACATACGCATCTTACATATTTCTTTCGCTAAGCATAACTGTTGTCAACCGCTGTTTCCCAGGCAGACCGCCTCCTCTAATTGTGTTTCAGCCTGTTCCCAAACGTGTGTGGCTTTATATTGGTTGTGCCAAGATGAGAAAAATATTTGATCGTATCTGGAAAATCTCTGCCAGTCACCAGTACTCTTACTGCTGTCCACTCCTCCGATCTTTATTGTCAGCAGATCATCTCTGTGGTGATTTTTATGGGAGAAGGTGTGGGGATTCAGTCAGTGATCACAGCATTGCATAGGGACTCTTAGCCCTGCAACCACTGCAGGTGCTCATTCGCATCATGTCTACCGCAGTGGCTCCTCAGCAGTACCAGGTTTGAACATGTAATCTACATTGTTCTTGCTCAGTTTCCCCACAATTTATGAAAGGCATTATTAATTGTGGACTACTGACTTTACTGCTTTTGGAAAAAATGATTCTTAACTTAACTTCTGAGGCAAATTTTTTATGATTACATGTTACATTCCTAATACATTTTTAGTGTTAACTTTGAAAAATTAAACTTTAAAATTACATGTTTCTCTAGAAAGAGAAGAATCTTGGCTTTGTCAACATTCACAGGAGCCTGGTATAGCTGGACAACAGCTCTGGGGACTAAAGTCTAAAACTTTGCCTGTTTTTCTGCTGCTCTGAGTTGATCAAATAAAAAAAAAAGTTTAAAAAACAAACAAACAAAGGCTAGTTTTGCTTACAAATCCTAGTCTTGCTAATATCACTATAGTCAACAGCTGCAGTGGCACTTCTATATGGGAACTTTGACATTGTTCTCAGCAGGATTTTACCTAGAAACCTTAATACTATGACTTCGTGGTCACACATCTATTCAGCAACAAGACCTTGTCCAGCAACAGAATCCGTACTGAATCATGGCAATAGTAGAGCTGATCTGAGCAGCCCTCTTGCTCTGTGTAAAGTAGGCCTGCGACTGAGCGCCGGTCTTGGTGCGTGAAGGTTTGCTTTGGCAGCCGTGCGAGCTTTCAGATCTTGTTTTGTATTGTTCCTAGCTGGCTCATGAAAATGGTAACTGCTTTCAGTGTAGCTTATATGAAGCACATTGAGGAAATTACATGCTGGTAACTTGCACCCTGTTGCTCCATAACACAGTTTTCTAATGTTCATTTGTTTTATTTAAATTTAGGACAAGTTCCAGGCCCACCTCGCCAGAGAAACATGAAACAGTGATGAGAACGCTTCTGAAATCTGTATTGCGAACCCCTACGAGTTATTGCTTCCTTCCAAGTTGGTCCATACTGAATGGAGGCACTTGCGATCTCTTGTGCAACTGAATAAAGGGCAGCGCTTTTGCATCAGATTTTTATATGACTCTTTTTATTATATTTTAGTACTTTAAGAGGAAATTACTTTTCACTAAGAACAATGTTTTACATTCTCATGTGAAATTACTATTAAGTTAACAGCTGAAGTGTGCCTGCATCACTGTATTGTAAGTTGCAAAAGTCCCTTTGGTGTTTATTTTTCTATAGTGTATAGCTGGATTCCTTGTAAAAAAAGTTATTAAAATGGCATTTTATTAGTGAATTCTTACACTGTATGGTTATTTGTTTCCACAAAACCATTTGTTACCTATTTACTTTTTTTGCTGTTCCTAAAATTGTTCGGGGTTTAATATTTCTCTAGGATCATTCTGACTAACAGAACAGCTAAAATACTCTCCCAAATATCAAAGATACATGTAGCATTCTGTGAATTTAGGGTCTGCTCTTCTGGTTTTACAATAAATTAAGTCCTCTTTCCCAAGTCTTTCTCATCACATTCCAATTCAGTGTCAAGCCACCATTCCTTGACTGAGCTATGCATGCATGATGTATTTGGTCTGACTGAATTCATGCAATATAATTAATCTGCACCTGCTCGAGAAGTCAAATGCATGTTAGACTTTCCTCCAGTGTGACCTTCACCTATCAGACTCATCTTTCCGAGGTGACTCAGTATTGGGGCTCTCCTTCCAGTCTCATGCTCCTTCTGGTGCGGTAGTGTATATGGGTACCTGGTTCCTCCGCCTCCCACCACCACCACAACTGAGCAGAGACTGAGCAGAGCTTTGGGGGGAAGATGCCTCAGGGTTCAGCATGCGGTATTTCCATACAGTACAGAATGTCTGCCCTTACTGTGCTGCGGGTGTGTCCCCTCCACCCTGCTCCAAGCGACAGCTTGGGCAGGTATCTTCTCTCACTGCCCTGTCACAACCAGCTACTAGCGTGCTGGGTTGTGTTTGCTGACAAGATGAACAAAGGTAATGGGTGCTGGTCCACATACGAGCAAACCTGTGCTGGAACTCACGAGATAGAAGGGCACTAGTCTTCTCCTAGAAGACTTACAAGTAGTTTGGAAACAGCTGGACTCAGTTGGCTGCACCCTTGCCTCTCCCTCAACTTACCAGAGGCTCCGAGAGAGTAGTCTGAAAAGGAGCTGCTTCTGACACTTGGCAAACCAGAGCATCTGTGTTACGGAAATGCTTACATGTTTAGGAACTTTTAAAGAAATAAAACAAATTGTTTCCAAAATAGATTTGGATTAGACTAGTGTTTATAAATGGGGAAAATAAAGAGTCAATGCAGGAAAGTAGAAATTAAGTTCAGTCTAAAGTACAAATAGGTGGGATAGAAGACAAATACGTAAAGCTTACAAGCACTGAATTCAAAGTTTTTAACACAACTCTTGGACTGCTGGTAGTTATTTGTCCTATTTAATCTGGATCCTTTTAGCTTAATTGTCCAAATTCAAAAAGCTCATAACTTCTGTTTAAATGTATGCATTTTTGACAAAAACACACACAAGCACTAAACTATTATTTACCTCTAATGTAAGTGAAATGCCTGATTGCAAATCCTAGCTCTGCCTAGTACCTTGTGCTGTAGGTACCTTTCAGGGGGCCAGTTCAAAATGTGTGTTCCATTGCTGGTCAAAGAGGAAAAAAGAAGAGGCGTTTTGATGGTACACCCCTTTCCAGTCATGATGTCTCAGATGCAAAAAAGAGAGATCCCAAATACCATACCAAATGAGACTTCTTTCTGTGATATTTACCTGTGATATTTGTTGTCATATTTCACAGAAGCCAAGTGCTTCTTGGGATAATCTAAGATTCATTCTTCTCTTTCTTTTTTCCTTAGAAAAGGTATAGGCAGAATTGTAACACCAGAAGTATCTTAAGACCCTGGAAATGTGAAATCTCTACCTTAGAAGAATACATGGGGTATCAGAAAAATCACTTCTGGAGGCAGATTATTCTATTACAGCCTATTAAAAGATCTTTGTTGACAGGATATTTGACAATTGGATATTAGCATTCATCCAAGATTGATATACTTGTTTAACTGCTTTTGTCCAATGTTGGTCTTGGCAAGCCCTTGTTTATCTGTCGGGTTGGTCACCATTTAATTCACTGAAAAAAACCCCGTGGTATATGTCGGTGTGCACTTCAAAAATAGGGGAGCCTGTCCTCCAAGCTGCTAGGTAGGACAAGAGGCTGGTATGAGTGGCACGGGAGAGGAGCCATTTGTGCTGATGGTCTATCTGTGGGGGAAGTGAGCAGCACCGAGAGCTCCTGTGCCGTGTGGAGGAAATGCTGTGGAGCCTTAGCACCAACCCTAGGTGAAGGAAGAGCCTCTACCAGAGGTACTGGACTGCCCCTGGTACTCGTGGCTCCTCCACAGGTGCTTCTGTCTCTGGGTTGACTCAAGCGAGACCTGGCAAGGAAAAATTGAAAAAATACAGAGGCCTGGCAAGTCTCTGTATTTTCATCGTTCAGTGGTGGGGGCATCCAAGCTGTGTTCCTGAGCAGACTCTGAGCACGGCCAGCCCACAGGACACTGCAGTTCAGGCTCAGGAGGTTGTGAGGCTGCCCTTGGGGCAGCCCTGTAACTTTGGTGGCGGGTGCTCCTGCTGCGTCTGCTCTCAGCCTGGCCGCCCTTTGGGGAACCTTTTGCCGGGTTCCTTTGCTGCTTGCCAGGCTGCCGGTTCCAGAAGCAAACGTACGTGTGGGAGCCGGGAGCCGCCGGGTGCTTTGCAGGCCGCAGGTGACCTTTGGGCCAGCCATGAGGAACTCATGCTAGATACATCACAGGTGGCATCCTGCCTCTTCTGTAGGAAACTGGTAACTTACTGCTTTCTGGATGTTGGTAAGACCTTTCCCAACGCTTGCTCTTACTTTTAGTGAGTTAGCGCTGTGCCACTGTACTAATTCTTTAAACTTCTGAGAACTTTTATCTAGCCGGCTGAAGGTTGTGTTAAAAAAGTGACAATGCAGGTAGCTAACTTTGGAAGTTATCTTTGGGCTTCTCATCAGTATTGTTGTAGCAGGTAAGAAATGTCCTCTTACTTGTGCGAAAAGGTGATCTGCAGGAGTGAGGATACTGTGTATGGGAGGATCCCAGCTGCGCTGCCGCAAGGGCTGGCGCAGACTCTGGCTCCGCAGTGCCCGGTAAGGGATCCATGCGCTGCCCGACACAGGGCCGGGTCAGTGCGCATGTGCGACCCAGTTTGTGTGATGGTATCTTGGCACGCACACAGAGTTTGTTATGACATCTACAGGAGAACCTATTACCTGATCTGGCATAAACTTAATTTGGCATGAACAAACAGCACCTGATTTGGTATAAAAGCTTGCCAAAAGTAACTTAACTTGTCCAGAGTTTAAAACCGATTTGAACTGGATAAGTTTATGCTGGATCAGTGACTGTATCATATTTCTTTTAAAAATCTGTTTCCAGGAGTCTTAACACTAGATGTAGAATTCTGTCAAACCGCACACTCTGAATGGTGTTGCTGTCCTTTTTGTTTAGCACAGCATGAGTTTATCTTCTCTTATAAATAATGTT